AACTATTTTACTGTCAAAGATTTTAATAGAGATGTATTTTTAGATTAAAATGCTGTTATCAAACTTCATCTTTTAGTCAGTATTAAATTATATGTGCAACTTTGGCTTACATTAATAATTTCCTAAAATTACTCTTCTGTTTTTCTTTTTACTTTTTTCAATGTCTGTATACTTTTAAGTTCTACTCCACCTTGTTTTTATTTTCCTCAAACTTTGTTCTCTATCATTATTTCCTCCTTTGTTTGAATGCTCACAAAAAGTTAATTTGTATGCAGGTACTCTCCTACTGACAAATATTCAAATTTTCAAAGATACAAAAAAACTTGTACATAAAATCAAACTTTATACATTACCAAAGTTTGGAAGTTCAACTGCTGCACAACAGATGACATTATTATGGTTGTTACAAACATCTAAATGCAGAGTTTATTGTTTTTAAAAAGATTGTTAAAGAAATTCTTCTTAGTTTCTGATATATTTTTGAAGCTTTGTTAAATTTTTATGATTGCAAGGTGTACTTACTATGTTGTAATTTCTATAATTTGAAATTAGCCTTTAAACCTTCTTTACTGACTTGGTTAGCAGTAGTAATGTAAATTATTCACATTGAGCAGCAAAACATGAAAAAGAGAAAATGAATGGTAATGTATTAGAAACAAATCCATAAGTTTTTTTGTGAGAGAAGATATCAGTCAAGAAATGTACAAATATTTATTACAAATTTTTTTATATAAAAAATTGAAATAAATTTTGTATGAACAAATATATTTTTTGTTTCCTTTAGCATTATTATTAGCAACAAACAAGACAGTGTCAGGAATGAATAAATACATTTATTATTACGTACTCCCAAATATTTGAGTTTACAAAATTCCACGAACATAACCTGTTTGTATGTAGGAGAGTTCCTGTATTGATATTTTAATGATGGGCTATCTTGTTTAATAATAGAATTTCAAAGAGATATTTTGTTGCTGTCAGAAACAAATTCCTATATTCAAGGAGAATAACAACAATTAAATACTATTCTAATTACAGTAAAATTACAGACATAGAGATACATTAAATTTTTATCCTATGATGCATGATGTTTTAACTCTATCTATAAATGAAGAGTTAGCAAACTAAAGCTGAAATAAAAATTGCACTGGCAACAGTATTATTGATCAGCACATTTAAAAGTTTAGGCAACTAAGGATAGCTGACAAAGTTTTTTTAAAATATCAAATATTAAATGTTATAAATTACCTGTGTTTGTGTTCAGTGCTATGTTTTTGATATTTGTTATATCAAGCTGCAATCATTGTTACAAGAAAAACTGATCATTTTTATGCTCTAAACAGTACAATCTATATGTAATGATTTTATATTTGTGCTCTAAAGCATTATTGGAAGCTCTGCTCACTGTTTATTTTTAGAGTAATAGAAAACTTATATTACTTCAAAAAACTTGGTGGTATGTTTATGTATTACATAGTTCTTGATATATAAATGCATTTGCATTCCATTCAGAGTTAAAACTTTACAACTATAAAATTTCAACACAAGGTTCTTTAATATTTTATACTGTTATTATTTTCTATTTTTTCTTTTGCATTTCTTGGAGGAATTTATCTGAAAAAAAAAGTGAAGTGCTTGCTGCCAAATCATAGATTATCTCCTTATTTCCATTGTATCATATAGTTTTACTTTTAATATTTAAGAACTCATTTTGAAGGTAGAAAAATTACAATCACAAATTTTACTGTTTATTAAAAAACTAATAATTCCTTAGTGAATTTATGTGCATTTATATATATATAATATATATATATAAAGTACAGCAATAGCACCATGTCCTAAAGCATTCATTATATACAACATATATTCCTTAACATAATTTTCTTCCTTGTCAATATACTTAGCTATTATTCACATTAATTAACATAGTGAACACATTTCATATAGTGGAAATTTCAGATTTAAATTCAACTAATATTGATCTAACCATTATATATATAAAGTAAAACTATACTCATATTACTGCTTTCCATAATTTAAAGTTTCACATGAAATTAAGTTGCGGAAAACAATAACATATCAGTATTGTTTTACTATATTTTATATTGGCTCTGTTTTGTATATTTTACGTTGAGCACTGCATTTATAGTATCCCAGTTTTGCCTTTATTATACAATATATATATATATATATATATATATATATATATATATATATATATATATATATGTATGAGAGAGAGAGAATGACACATGCTTAGTCTAATATTGTATGCCATTAGTAGTGATTAATATAAATTTTTCAATATATTGTGATATTTCGAAACTGATTATGCAGATGTCCTCCAAGAATTTAATCCAGCAAATATTTATGTTGATTTATCCTGTTTTATTTGCTTTTCATTGAAATTATTTACATGTATATTTTAGTGCTGTTTACTGAATATTTAAAAAAAAAACAAACATGTTTTGTGTAAAATTATTGGCATGTACATATTATTTATGTTCTGATTATGTCAAAAACTTTGATTTAGATATTTTTATTGTAGGAATGTTCTTGTGGTTTCATAATAAATTTTATTTATTTAAAAACCATGAGAACTTTCATTCCAATCAGATATTTTTCATTAAAAAATCTTTTACAATAACTGAAATTATTTTGGAGTTTTTAAAGAACTGGCCTGAATTTCTAGATGGTTTGTTGATTGTATATCTGATGAAAGTGATGATAATCTTGTATATTATTTTGTTGATTTTTGTTTAAAATTTATTGTATGGGATATAAATAAAGTAAATGTAATCATTAATAATAGATCAGTACAGCAGTTAAATATTACCATTTTGATATTTATTAAACTTGTTTCACATTATTGATATTGATCAATTATTGATAGACTAGCAGGGATACCCAGCATTGCTCGGAAGATCTCTGAATAATAGTTTATTATTGACAATTTATTGATATTTTTCAGACATCTTATGGAAAATAATATTTTATTCAATCTTTAAAAAATAAACTTTATTGTTTTTTTCATTTGTTTTAAAATAACTAAATTTAGGAAAATATCACACTGGGGTGGGGGTCTTAAGGGGTTGAGCCTCCCTATATTTTTATTCAAAAAGACTCTATTTTTTATTTAAATACTAACATAAATACTCTATTAATGTTGTTTTCAAACAAGTTAGATAAAAGTTCATTAACTTTTTTCAAATTATTATTAATAAAAAAGTAAATAAACTTAAATTAAGATATATTTAAATTGATTTAATTTAATCATTTTTTTCAAGCAAAAACTATAGTGAACTTTGCAAAATAATTATTTATTATTTATTTTGGAGGGTAATTTAAATATTTTTTTTTTTTAAGTAAATAAAGCTTTACTTTTAAATATTAATTACCATTTTGAAAGAGAGTAGAAGCAACATACATTGAGAATTTAGTTTTGAAAAGCAATTATGTTTAAATTTCAAGTAATGTTTGTATTTGAAAAGAAAAACTTTAGTTAAAGAAAAATTAGAGAGCCATTACTTATGGTCAACATTCGTCGTGTTGAATATTTGTTTTATTAATTTGAAAATTTTTGAAAAAACAATGTAGTTTATTTTTTGAAGATTGAATAAAATAATTATTTTCCATAAGATGGCTGAAAAATATTAATAAGTCAATAATACACACACACACATACACACAACTGCCCTTTAGGGTGATACTGAATCTGTATATGTATTCTGTAGCTGGTATCACATGCACACACACACACACACTCGAATATTCAAATAAATAAATAGTAAGCTTTTCCTCAAATAATTGTATTTAATATTCTTCTTTTTAATTTACTTTGTTGTTTTAATATTCATTTTTTAAAATTACACTTTCATTTACTATAGATGTGAAAATAAATTCAAGAGAGTATGAATTTTTACATGTATAGCAAAGTATCAACAGAATAAAAAAGTAAAAACGAATGGTAATTATAATTGTGAATAAGAATTATTACCATTCGATTTTACTTTTTAATTTTGAGAATTTAGAATATTTTAAAATATCTTCATAGATATAAATCATACGATGATAATATTTTTACAAAAAGCTGGCTTGGGTGATAATGAGTCTGTATATATATTTACTTTGTCATGAATTACTGTAATTTTTTAGTTTTAGCTGGATACACATATACTGACAGTTGCCGTTTATTTATTTATATATATATATATATATATATATATATATATATATATAATGCCTGAAATATCTACTTGGATATTCAAGTACTGATGAAAGTAAAGTTAGAAGCATTCCTCTTGAAAATTTTGTGAAACTATTTCATACTTCTCCAGAAACTTTAATCTGATTGAGTTATAAATATTTTACATAAAGATTTGTAAGAGTTATTTATTAAGTTAAATTAGTGTTTTTGAACAATTATGGTTCATAAGTTTGAATAATTAATGTTCATATATATCATGGTAAATCTAAGAGATTTTAACTTGTTTCATGCATTGATATTTTAAATTTAGAATCTTTTTTTTTTTTAAATTCTGGATTAATTTTACAAGGAATCTCTCTCTCTCTCGTGATCATTGATGTAACTTTTTTTTTTTTATTTCAGTCAATAGGATAATGCCAGCCTGAAAATATACCCAATCAATGTCAGTAAGTTGACTTGCATCTGGTGATCTTATTTACAGCTGGAGTTAGCATTTATCACTCCAGTGATGGACCATGGAAAATATGACAATGACCTGCAACAAAATGCAAATAATAATTATGCTCGCTGTCCACTGCCTCCAATAGGCAAATTGCAATCACCTGTGCAAAATATTGATACTAATGCAGCCAATAAAGAAGCCAGTAGCAGGTTTTCTGTAACCAATGAGAAGAACAACAGTTTCCCAGATGCAACAAAGTTTGGTAATACAATCTCCAATGGCAGTAGTCCAGTTGCCAAAACTGGAGGAGGTGCTGTTGGCACACCTCCCAAAGGCAACAGTTACCTCAAGATGTACTCGGCAACATCACACTTGAAAGCCTCTGGTACTAGCAACCATCATCAATCACAGCAGCAGTTGCCTGCAGTTAATTCTCATGAATCTCTGCTAGATGGTCAGCAACAGCAGCAGCAGCAAGATGATGAAGAACTGGATGATTTGAAGGAAGAAGATAACAATGTTACTACTAGTGGAGGTGGTGATGGTGATAATAGTGATAAAAAAGGAAATAGTGAAGGTGGAGGCAGTGGAGGGGCTGGTGGTAGCGCTGGAACCACAGAAAGAAGTGGAGGCAGCTCTGGGCTCAGTTTGAAAGAGAGAGAAAGTATTTACGAGTGGTCATATGATGAGCCTGAAGAGAGCAACCAGCCCTACAAAACCAAATACCAGCTGTTCTCACACCTGCGCCGCAGCAATGTCGACCGCCCATACAAGTGCTTGCACTGTGAAAAGTGCTTTGCTACCACGTCGCATCTCAAGTCCCACTTGCGCACGCACACTGGAGAGAAACCGCACCGTTGCCACAAGTGTCCACGTGCTTTCTCAGAGCAGTCGTCATTGAAGCGCCACCTGCGCTTGCACAGTGGAGAACGTCCTTACGTATGTGTCTACTGTTCGGAGGCTTTCTATAACCAAACCTCGCTCAAGAATCACCTTGCAAAGCATACAGGGGATAAACCATATAAGTGTGTCCGATGCCAAAAATCATTTATCCATGCATCTCATCTCAAATCACATTTGCGCACCCACACTGGTGAGAAGCCTTTTGTGTGTATTGAATGCAACAGGTCATTCTCGGAGCGAACCTCTCTACGTCGACACATGCGTATCCACACTGATGAAAAGCCTTACGCCTGTGCAGAGTGTGGTAAAGCATTCCACAACCAGTCCTCCCTCAAGTACCATATCACTAGTCACAATTCATCCAAAAATACTCAAGATGGAACGTCTACTGGCAATGGAGTTGCTGATGAAGGAGAAGCAGGAGATGGCCATGCTGGAAACAAATCTCAAAAGTCAGCTAATTCACTTCCTAATGCTGCTGGTTCAACTGCATCAAAGAAAGGTGCATTTAAGTGTAGTGAGTGCAATAAAACTTTCCCCACTGAAGCCACACTGAAAAGACACTCTACGCTGCATTCAGGGGAACGCCCTTTCAAATGCACTCAGTGTGGCAAGGGTTTTTTCCGTCAGGTAGGATTACAACAGCATGTGCGAACCCATACTGGGGAGAAGCCATATCTTTGCGTGCATTGTAGCAAAAAATTCTCTCAACATTCTGGTCTCAAGCGGCATCTACGCATACACACAGGTGTTCGGCCGCATCAGTGTTCACTTTGTGAAAAGGCATTCTGTGAACTTTCGTCCCTTAAGAATCATGTAGCCACAACTCATTCTGCTAGTGGCTCAGAACAGCCACAAGAATTATGGCACTGCACTTATTGTACAGATAGTTTCCAAGAAGAGATTGCTCTTCAACGTCACATGAACTCGGTTCACACTGCTGTTGAAAATGCACTAAAAGAAGAAAACATGGAAGTCGTATCCAAACCACAAAAAGTACCAGAGAGTCCAGGGTTAATTCAGACCTTTAAGTGTAACCACTGTTCCAAGATTTTCACGCAAGCTCCTCTCCTACGTGACCATATTGCTGACGTCCATGCAAAAAGCACTCCAACTGGAGCCAACAGCGCGCTGCAGGCAAATCCTAAAGTATCATGCACTTGTGTCCATTGTGGCAAGGCATTTAGTCATCGCACATCGTTGCAGCGGCATGTCCGCACTCACACTGGGGAAAATCTGTACAAGTGTACACAGTGTGGAAAGTCTTTCTGCCAAAAGTCATCTTACGAGTACCACATCACAATTCACTCAGGCATCAAGTGTTAACATTTGTGTCACCTGGTAAAGGGGAATATTTTGCACCGACAGATGCTCTTTCCGCTGCTGCAGTTGCTGCTGAAGATGCAGCAAACAATGTCTCATCTATCAACAATGATAACAATGATGATGATGACGATGATGATGACGACGACGACGATGATGATGATGACGACGAGGAGGATGATGATGATGACAACGATGACGATGATGACGATGATGATGAAGAGGAAGAACAAGAACAGGCTGCGTCCAATGATACTGTATCATCTTCAGCAGCAAGTAACACCACCATGACAGTCTCTTATTACTGCCATCAGCAATCAACAACTCCTCTGCCGACCATAGCTGAAATGACACCAGTGACCACTTCTGCTCAGCAGCCTCAGCATCCTCATGCACATCATCATCACCACCACCACCACCATCACCACCACCATCACCATCCTCAAACACAACAGCAGCAGCAGCAACAACAACAGCAGCAGCAACATCAGCAGCAGCAGCAACAACAACAGCAGCAGCAACAACAACAACAACAACAACAGCAGCAGCATCAACAACAACATCAACCCCATCCGCAACAACAACAACAACAACAATCCCATCCGCAACAGCAACAAGTTAGCCCACATACTCAACACACACATCATCCACATCAACAACATGCTGGTTTTGATGTATCCCATCAGGCCCCTGCAGAACATCATTCCCAGCATGCATGCTGATTCTTTAAGATAGAAGTAGAGAATATTAAATTGAAAAACAGACATAATAAAAATGCCCATCCAGTTTGATATAAATTTGTCCATTTATACATTCAACAATTCACTTATATTGGCTAAATTCTGATCCTGCAATTAAGTTGTATAATGGCTTGCTTTTTTTTTTTTAATATGTAAAAGTACATTTCTAAATTCTGAATATTTCCCATCATGAAGATTGTAGAATTGTATAAGTTCAAATTTCATCCTGCATATGCTCATTACAGTTTTTAAATGGTTCTGCTGGGAAGTTAGTGTAATAAATCCACTTTTGGGGAATTGCTATTTACAGTGTAAAAATTTCCATCCTTAGACAAAATTTTGTTTCTATGATTATTTTAGATAATTTATTGTACCTGACTAGCTTTTTGGTTCACTTCCGTGATAAAACACCAAGAAATTAATTTTATTGACTCAAACTTGCTTCCATAGTATCTTAAATGTTAACTTAAACATGTTATGTAAGGTGCATTGTGATAGCCGTAGAGCTGATATTTTTCAGAGCATCAATGAAATAATACAATCAGAATTATACTGGAACAAGATAGGTCATCAGTGGAATAAAGAGCATCATTACCACACTTTTTGTTATTGGTATATTATGCTGTAAATAACTCTTTAAAAACTTTCTTAAAATATATCAATTGATGAAGCTCTAGTTGCATTTAGAGGACAAATTGGTTTCCAGCAATGTATGCATAATTTTGTTAACTATCCAAAAGAATTCTATTTTATACAGAAAAGTGCACTATTCAGTCAAAATTGGTAAAACGGGTGATTAAAGATTTGACAGAAAAAGCAGATGTTCACAAATTTCATCTAGAAATGCTTGTGGGACTTGTAAGCATATTTCTTCCCCGAATAACTGAATTATGAAAATCAAAATTGCAAAAAAATGTTAGTAAACACAACAAAAATATGGCATATTGATAAAATTGATTTTTAGGTGTTTCTATAGATATCTCAGAGTATATATAGCATTAAATGATGCCACTCCAGAAGTAGTCGGGATTTTAAATTTGACAAGGCAAAAGTAGTTAATAAAGTTTATTAAAACAAAGCTGCTAACAATAATTATTAAAGAACAATGTTTGTCTGTTGTGGGTTGATTTTTGAAAACCTATTTGGCAAATTCTTACAAATGGAAAGACCACATAAAGTTAACAAGAATGTTCATTTTACTACTTAGATTATTAAATGTAATTACTTAGATTTAGTAAACTCTTGTCTTTGTTTTCTGAAGATGTTTTATTCTTTGATTTTAAAATGTTTGTAATACAGCCTTTTTCATTTTTATATTTTTACTTTAGTAATAGCTTTGACTTTTAGTTTGTGTCTTTTAGGCCTCAGTGATTGTTTTTCAAATCAAACTTATGCCTTAATTTCAATTCCTTGACATTGTTAATAGCAGTTTCTCTTTACTTTCTCATCTGTATAGACATTATGTTTCTTTAAGTATTATATTGCTTTCTATGTGCCATCAGTGCTTTAAATTTAACAGGACACAAAATGTGTTTTTTAATTTTTTTTCTTGCAAGATTTTTTGAAGCCATTTCTATCTCTGTTGCTTAATAGCTCAAGTTCCTCAATTTTTAGTCATTGTCGAAATACTTGATTTTTATTTCAATTTTCACAATCTTTTTGAATTAACAGATGACTGAAGTGCAAGTTTTCTGTGGTCTTAAAACAATTTAACTGCTACTAAAAAGATTTTAAAATTTTGTGGAAATACAACAGATGGAAAAAGCTATGAATTAACATAAAGTTTCCAGAAACCATAATGTGTTCTTTTTTGTAATTGGCACAGAAAAAAAAATTACATAATTCCATTGTTTCAAAAAATAAAAATGATAAATTTTAACTAATACTGTTCCACCCTAAGTGAAATTTGGCTTTTATCTCATTAATCTTCAGAAAATGATTTTGTTAATAGAGCAATTGGTTGTCAGTTAGCATTTTTTTTTTTTAAATAAGAGTTCTAAGATTTAAGAATTGAATTTGGCTAAAAGTAAATTTGGGTGTCTATTTTATATGCCCAGAGACAATGGTAATCAAGAATGAAATATATTCAATTTGTCCAATGAGGATAATCATTAATTTTCTTTCTTTGGATTAGTTAATGCTGCATCATTGTTTATACACACACACACATATATATATATATAGAGAGAGAGAGAGAGGCAGCTTGGAAATCAATGGGCAAAACTATTAACATAACCACTTAGCAATAAATGAAAGACAGTGGCATCAATAGGATTGGTGTCACTTCCATTAATATTCACTTTTTACAGACCATACAGAGTCCTTAGTAATATTTTTTGTACTAATGTTACTTGGAAATCACATATTAATGGATGTAATGGCAGTAGTGATGACATAACCAAATAATACCATTTAAATTACACTTTTTAATTACAATATCAAGTGTACAGTCCAAAACCATTTACATTTATACATGTGGCTAAAGTGAAAATTCTGTAAGAAAACAATAGAATTCAAAGTTGAAATATTAAAAAACTGCATCAAAATTATGTTTGTTTTTACATTAAACTTTAATGTTAAAATAATTGCCTTACATGCAAGTTATTATTTTTATCATATACTACCATGCGACAAATATAGGTTTAAATTTATTATTACTTAGATGAAGAAATTGTTTTGTAAAGACTTTCTATGTTGAATATTAGTAATTGAGTAGAAGCTTTTTTTTTTTTTCCTCTTATTTTCCTTTATTACTTCATTTTTGGAAACGAATATTCACAAATACTAATTAACAAAGTAAAGGTGAGATACCAGAAAATCTGTCAAAATCATTGACTATAAAATAGCAGTAAGGGAAACAAAAGTGTGTGTGCACAACTGAAACGCTCTACTAAATTTTTATAATAATTTTTATCTCGCCCCCTCTCTTGTGATACCACTGGATGGAAGTGAATAATCATCTCTTGAAATTTTGAGACTTTCATGACTTGAACATTTCTAATAATTTAAAAAAAATTTTTTTGCTTTTCCTTCATATTAATTTTATTCCTTGGCATTTTTTCATTTTTATTCTATCTCAAGAGTAACATGAAATGTCATAATGTTATAAAGCTTTCCTTTTCCTAGTCAATAGATAACTTTAAAATGCTCCCTATCAGTTTTACTAATATTTGTGCTAAAAAGTATACCTAACCATGCATCAAATTCAAACTTTGTTTCTTGCTATTTTTTAGCTAAAGATTACAAATTAGTTGCTTCTCTCTATATATATTTCTATTTGTTCAATTCCTTTTCGTCCAGCATAGCAAATTTTTTTAAAAATCATTATATAGATGATTAAAAATTTTACCTATTATCATCTTTACAAGCAGTATGAAAATGGTTTCATTCACTTGAATAGTTTTGCTCTCCTCTGATCATGCAGTTTATGAAGAAAATTTTTATTGCTTATTCTAATACAAATTTATTTATTACATTCTGAAAAGAGTTGTTATTAAATCCTCACCCTAATTATATTTATGACAGAATAATGAAGTGATCTGCTTTTTGTACTGTTTATTGTTTATCTTCTCTGCCATTTATCAACTTATGGTAGTTTTTCTTTTTCATATTCAAAGTTCATAAAGATTGAGTTTCAAATGATGGTGTGAATCTATTTAACCATCAATGATTTCAGCATGAAATCTTTCATGCAATTCATAAACTATTTTCTCCATTTTCTAATCATGGACTTTCAAGGTTTACATTTTGTAATTGACACTTTTTATCCAAAATGAAAATATCTGTGAAAATAAGTCCCAACTAATTTAACTTTTACATCAGACAAGATAAGTTTTTATTTTTAAAACAATTCCTCTTAATGTTGAGATAATTTCATTACTTTTATGTTCTATGAGATCCATATGCTTAATGCCTACTATAGTCTGTAATGTATGTTTCAGGTAGTTATTTTTTAAAATACATTTTGTGGTTATACCTTTTGTTGGTAAACATTTGATCTTGTAAATTGATGTCATTTATTCAAGAAGCTATAAATCTGAAAAGGATGCTTACCTTCCTTTTTTCTGATAGTGAAGGGTTTTATATTAAGCCAAATATATTTAATGCCTTATGTACAGAAAGAATAAGGATTTACAAAGATTGTGATGATGTGAAGTTATTTGAATTTCTGTATCATTTAATTGATAACATTATCTGCAAATGAAATCTCTCTCTCTCTCTCTCATGCACACACACACACACATGCACATGAGAAAGAGATGTAAAGGAAGTTACACAAAATTTGAATTAGATAATAAATTATCTAATGTTTGAGACATGGCATTGTATATGGAAAATGTTAATATGAAAGTGATTTGTAGTCATTTAGTTATTGGACAAGCATTTTACAATCTATACTTATTTGATACAAATAAAAATTTGTAATATTCTGTATATGTGCATGTCTACCTATGTTATCTCCTTTTCTGTTAAATTGGGATCAAAGATTAAACTTTAACAGCTTAAAATGCATTCCTTATTTCCTTACACTTTAAA